ACACAACTACACACTGATAACACACACACACACACACACACACACACACACACACACACACATCTTAGTTGTCAGCATTTGTTGTATTCCTGTAAGTCTTCCTGTAAGCTGGAATACCAAGAGACACACCTCTAGAGTGCGGATGTAGACGAGAGCTTTGGGCAGCTGCACGATGTTGTTGTCGCTCAGGTCCAGAGTGCGTAAGCTTCTCAAAGAACCAACGGTGGACGGCAGCTCCCTCAGAGAGTTACCTGGTCAGACACAGAGGTATTGGGACATATTGTACACATCCTCTTATTCTTGAGAGTATTCAGGCAGCAGTGAAACTCATACCTTTCAGATTGAGTGTCTGCAGAAGCCTCAGGTTCCCGATGCTCTCCGGCAGGGCCTTCAGACGGTTCTTCTTAACATTCAGAATCTGACAGGAAGCACAATGGAAACACAGAGATGATGATGAGAAGCATTCATTCACCCCCCCCACCTGTATCAGGAGTACATTACAGTAATGCTTTACCTGCAGTGACGCCAGCTTCCCAATGTCTTCTGGGAGGGAAGTCAGCTTGTTGTCATGCAGATCCAGAACCTTTGGGGGAAGACGGATTCAGTCAGGCTTTTGTTGTGATGAAGCAGGGTCAGAGTTAAGACTTGTAGCGATGCTTGCTCAGAGGTTAAAACAGAACGAGTAGCTGAGTGTGTTTTTACTCTCGGCTTTTTCACAGAAAGCTCAGCGTCACACAGCTTTGTGTTGGAGATGAGCGATAGAAGGAGAACCACCACCACCACCGGCTAACTGGTTATGAAACCTCTCACACTGAAGTATGCTTTCAGCTGGTACTTATATCTCCCATCCATGCAGTTTTTGTTGGTTTAGTAATTGAATGTACAACATGGAATCGATCGTTGCCTATTTCCTGCCTCATTATATTATTTATCAAACGAATGAAACAGTTGTAAACATTATACTGGGGAATTGCATTTCTGTCCCATAATGAAAGAAACAGGGTTTGAGTTTTTGGCCCAATGAAATCTAATCAGAGTTCTATTATGGGGGCGACTGTGGCTTTGAGGGAGTGCGGTCGTCCAGAAGGTTGTGGGTTCGATCCCAGCCCATGCAGTCAACATGTCGATGTATCCTTGGGCAAGATACTGAACCCCGAGTTGCTCCCGATGGCCAACGGTGTGTGAATGTGTTTGAATGTTAGTTCCTAGAGTAAAGTACACTGCTCTGTATGACTGAGTGAATGGGTGAACGACATGTAGTATGTAAAGCGCTTTGAGGGGTCTTGAAGACTGGATAAAGCGCTATATAAGTACAGTCCATTTACCATGATCTGTAATAGACCAGTATGTGCTACTGTAACGGCATGACTTTGTTTGAGTGGCATTAATGTTATATTACAGCTCAACAAGTTTACAAACAGTATATACAGTATTCCTTTATCTGGCAATATTTCCCATCATGCTTGCATCCCGTTGACTTCACCTTTAAAGTGGCGAGAGTGCTGATGTCACATCCTTTGGGCAGCAGGGAGCTCAGCTCGTTGTTGTGGAGGATCAGGACCTGAGGAGAGCAACAGGTGTGACTGGTGAGGGTCCTGGTTCACATGATGGGGATGAACTATGTAACACATCGGTAGAATGGAAAATAAATACAATATGTCTCCATGTTGGGTTCTTACCTTCTTCTGTAGCACCTTGCAAATGGAAAAGGCCGACGAGGGAACCTGTGACAGACAGAGCAGTGATGAGCGGCAGGACTAACACACAGTTGTACAAACAGCTGTCTGCAGTAATGGCACATAACAAAAGGTTAAAGCCTAAAAGTCAACATTAACACAAGAGAATGCAAATCACTATCAGAACTGAAGCATTGGTAAATAAAGCAGCTTCACTCATGAAGACATCTGCTACAATTTAAGGTGTATCATTAATAGACATTCACTGACATGCACTAAGGGGACATTCACATAAACAAACAAAGGTGAATAACCAAGCACCAACATATAAGTACTGGTACACAACAAACATTGCACAGTATGGTGTTCCTCTTTTGCATAATCAATGAAGGGCTGATTGAACAATTTATATTGGAGTTGCATTTTCATGTTCCCGTGATAATGGGGAAAGGATATAAAGACAAAAAAAGTGTTGAACTATTCATTTAAAAGGTCATTTAATGTTTGAACCAGCTTTCAAAGGTTTGACAAAGAGACATGTATTGTAGTAAGAATAGAGATGTATTCACAAACCGTGATCAGTGAACACACTCACCTCAGAGAGCTCACAGGCCGACACGTCCAGGGTGTCATCAGCCCCCGCCTCCTTCGTCTGCAACCAGGAAGAACAGTCAGTGGTTCGTTTGGGAGAGAAAATACATGTTATGTTAACAAGGAAGAAAACAGCAGGCCGTGCCCTCAGCAGAGTCTACAACAGCTGCTGAACGGAGGTGATGGATTCACAATATACATCCTTCTGATTGGTGATGTCATCCGCAGCCATGGTCTGTTTCCACTCCTACGCCGACGACACCCAACTGTACATCAGCACAAACCCCCTCTGCCCATCTCCCCCCTCAGTCACTAATCCACTGCCTACACGAAATGAAAACCTGGACGACCACCAAGCTACTCAAAGTAAACAGTGATAAAAGTTAGCTCATGGTTGTGGCCCCCAAGGCACCGCTCGGGAAGGTTGGAGATCTGCTCCTCAACGGCGGTTCCATCATCTCCCCATCCCCTCAGGTCCGCATAAAGTTGTCTTGGATTCAACCCTCTCATTTCAAAACCACATCAAGTCCATTTCAAAATCAGCCTTCTTCCACCTCAGAAACATATCCAGACTCCGGCCATCACTCTCCACTCTGTTGCAGAGAAGATCATTCTTTGTGTACCTCACGCCTGGACTATTGTAACAGACTCCTGTCCGGGGCTCCCAGCTAAACCCTGGATAGGCTCCAGTACATACAGAACTCAGCTGCCAGGGTCCTCACACGCACCGAGCCCTGGCAGCACATCACCCCCACTCTCTTCAATCTCAACTCTCTTCAACCTCCACTGGCTCCCGGTCGAGTGGGGGTGATGTGCTGCCAGGGCTCGGTGCGTGTGAGGACCCTGGCAGCTGNACACTTTTTTTTGGTGTGAAACCGCTCAATGAACTACATCTCCCGTCTCGCACCACACACCAAGACGGCCGTCACGTTGGCAAATTTCGCTTCGTTCGTTCAGAATGAGGCGTAAAGTATTAAAAGAGGTGAAAATCACTCCAAGTCTGGGCATGCTGAGAGCTGTACATATACACAAGGGGAGTTAGTCGGTTCATTAGAGCCAGCATGCGGGACCGGGATTCTGGGATTTGTAGTCTTTCTAGTTGCGTATTTTTCATAGTCTTATATTTCAACAGTTTTACGACAAACTTTTTTGACATGGAAATTATTTTTTAAGATTGACAAACATCATATGTGTAATTCGTGGCACAATTCAAACGGGATCAAAAGATAATCTTTCTCTCTCCATTGACTTCAATACATAATTTTTCCGAAATAAGGACCCATGGGTCGGAAGTAGATGGGCGGGACTTCGCCTCTCCATAGGCCTTTTGGGAGATGTTAAACATTAAAATGCAAGTGAGAATCCCAACTGTTAGAGACCTTGTTTTAAAGAGTTTGTGGCATGCTACATTGAGAGGTGCTCTTTGGGCCTCGAGGATGCGGAAGATGGCCAGAAGATCCTTGGAAGATGCAGGTATTTCTCATAAAGATTCAGGCCATTTTGGCTTCATGCGCCACAAATGGTGTATCCAGTTCTCTTTAAGCATCCATGTATAGATGGTTCAAACAAACACAGGAGATTGACCCATGAAACCACTGATCATGTACCAAAATGTTTTCCAAAACCAAACCATGATCAATTTTGTAGCATTCCTAAATTGCAAGACGTAGGTAACACACGTAAAGGTGTAATTAATATCATGTTATTCCATACACAACCTGCATATGTCATGGACACTGTGGGTGTAGACTCCCAGTTAGCTAGATGGCTAACCTCAGAGTTAACCAAAGGGTCAAAAGTTAGTAAAATAATTCACAATCATAATATTTCTTTTTGGGAAAAGCAATACTTTTATTCTTCTGCATAAAAACGTCATCATTAAAACCTTAAACTTTTTTGTCGTTTTGTTTCCTACATCAAAATAAGTAGTTCTGATTCACAAATGAACCGTGTGTTAGTCCGGAGAAAGTTAAGTGTTGGAAAAAGCGTCTGAAAAGACGATAAAGAACTGAATTGTGGAGTTAGACTCTTATACTGTCGCCATTTCTCATTTCGGGATTCTTTAGACGGGCCTTCACTTATGGCTCAATACAAAACATTTATAAGCGATTGCCCACGACTTTGACTTAAATTATACTTACTTACTGAGATAGAAAATCAAGTTTGGTCCAAATGTTGAACAAAAATTGAACAACATTTGCAAAAACAGCAAATCAGCATCAGAAAATGCAAATTATTATGCGTTTATATTCATTACAATGCATTCAATTGTATTAATTGTATGAGGAATTAATTATTTTATCCCTTTTCCAGTTAGCATAGGGGAAGCAGCAGAGCGTAATTCATCGGGATGAATCGCCTACTTCGCTCAAGGTTTCTCAAAATCAAACTGGGAAAAAATGAATGGTCCTTATTTACCGAAATATTGACTTTAATATGAGTTTAGTACACAAACTGTGACAGGATAAATCAAGCTGCTTCTGTCCGAGACGGGAACCACAACATGGCGTCTATCATCCTTCAACAAATCTGAATATTATCCTGTTTGTTTAATATTTGAAAGACAATCAAACAGAGACATGTTGAAGGTATCTATACAGATGTTTTCCTCTTCACCTGTCGCTCAGAGTCTGCAGGGAAACATCCAGCAGCTGGAATCACGATTCACCAAATCCATACTTTCTTTTCCTCACACCAAAAGAAACATGGTCAAACTAAGTGTGTGTGGTCTGTGGTGTTGGAGGTATATTCACCTTCTGAAATATACCCAGTGCTGTCAGTCTTCTCTCCTCCACTGTGATTGGTTAGCGGGTAAACGTGAATGATTACGCTGGATTTCCAAATTGGATAATTGCATGGCAGTCCTCCTTTTTGCTCGTTAGCCATGCCACTTCTTATCAGTTATATTTCCACAGTTCACAATAGACAACAGTCTACATAAATTCCAGCCATCCTCAGCGTCCTCGTCCTCCTGCACTGTGTCCAGATTTCTCTCCTCACAGTCCTCAGAGGAGACCAGTGTCTGTTTGGGATGTTGAAATCTAAACGAGTACGACTTCATCCAGACTGGAGGACAGGTAGAGGAAGGAGGTGAAGGAGAGACAAAGAATGAAGGTCGGGGAGAAGGCACACATCTGGTTTTTCTTCCTAATCCTCAGCAGACCTGTAAACAGCGGAGAGAAGAGGTTGTAATTAGTCACACGTCGTACAGTAAGGGAATTTATATCCTGTTATTTGTTACATGTTTGCATTTGAAGACCTCTGATTCACGAGGAGATCCTTTCCTTTAGTTGTGCCATAACTTATAATCCTATAATAGTATACGGGCAGCACCCAGGTGCAATTAGGCCTCAACTGGCCAATCACAAATAATTGTTTTGGAGTTAATTGTAGGGGTGCACCGAATGGGAAATTCTTGGCCGAAACCGATACCGAAAATAGGAAACAGTTGGCCGAAAATCGAATGCCGAAAAGCCGAAAATGATTAATAGAAAAATATATATATATATATTGTATACATTTTTTACCAATGTTGTTCAGCTACCTGATTATGGAAAAAGACATGATTATGGCAAAACTTAACTTAAATAATAATCACTATTATGGGTCCATAAAACATTTATTCAGCACTTTTGAATGCATACAGTACATTCAATTCAAGTCAAGTGCATTTTCTTTTCTCTGTAGGATAACTACAACAAAGTGCATTCAGAACAAAGCCAAGGTGCTTTAAAACTGCATAAACATCTAGGCCAGTAGGCCTACAACAACATAGTGTAAATAAAGACTAACAGCCAGGCCTTCAACAACAACAAATGCACCTATAAGTTTGGTAACCTAACGTGTTGTTGTGATGACTTAATCAAAACGCGGCGACAAGCACGGCGCGACCATGCTCGCGGCTGGCTCACAGCCATCATGTCTGCCGCTTGGAGATATTTAAAAATATCAGAGAGAGAGGCGCGGATTGCGATTTGTAAAACGTGTTCAGCTGACATTGCTCAAGGGGGTGTAACTGCAAAGACTTTCACCACTTCGGGATTACTCCACCACTCGAAATCAAAACACCCGGACAAATATGCGGAGTATGATCAACGTAACCCTGTTCTCTGACATTCGGTGATATTTTTTCGGCCGAAAGCCGAAAGGGCCTTTTTAACCATTTTCGGCCGATAATCTTCGGTGGCCGAATATTCGGTGCATCCCTAGTTAATTGATTGTTATTTTCTACATTCCACCGATATAACACTACTATAACACATTAATACACCGCTATGAAAACCATGTTACACCATTTTTGCACCTGTAATACACCCATATTACACCCATATTATACCCATGTCAAACTGTGATTACACTTTTATTGGACCCATAATATACCCAATGTTACACTGTTATTACACCCATGTTACACAAGGACACATCCCTATCCCATGACCATTTAAGGGTTAAAATACCCCTTAGTTCTTCCATTTGTGATTGCAATACAAATGGCTGGTTGATATAGCCTGTGTTTGATCACACACACACACACACACACACACACACACACACACACACACACACACACACACACACACACACACACACACACACACACACACACACACACACACACCAAAGGCGTATAAAGAGATGTTAGTTAGTATGATCACATGTCCTCTCACCTTCTGGTCCGACAGCATGCTGTTGTTCTGCAGAGGGGGGGGGTGTCCGCTGAGCAGACCCCCCCCGGCCGGTCGTGTTCACAGAAGATCGTCCCGTTAACGTAGTGGAAACGGTCGCCAGGCACCAGACGGTTCCTACAGGTCGCACAGGTGAAGCACTGGGGACACACAGAGGATCAGGTTTGTTTGTTTAAAGCAGTACAAATCATTTGTTTATTTGCTTCCTGATAAAAGCTATAGGCAAAATGTTTGACAGGAAATGCTTTTATTTTGAAGTGCAAGTATGTGTCCTACTCATTCTGTTTCCTGTTATGATTTTGAAATGAATACGAGTATGTCGAGTGCATTTTCCATGTCTTCTTGTTGGTAACTAATTATATTAATACAAAGTAAACACGTTTACTCGCTTGGTTCTTCATTCAAAGCTTCTATTACACGACAGGGTTTATCAAATAAAATGTAAAGGTTGTATTGTAATGTGCACAAAGCTACAGAGTAGAAATGGCAATTCAATTCTTCTGACCTGAACTCCTTCAACAATGCAACATATACAGTATAATAAAATACAAAAATAAAAAGTAGTGCAAAAAGTCTATATACATGTCAATAGAATATGATATGTACAAGAACAGAATATGAAATTAAATAATGTACATTAAGACAAAATTAAATATGGTTTATTGCGTGGATAACTATTAATATACAGGACTGTCTCAGAAAATTAGAATATTGTGATAAAGTTCTCTATTTTCTGTAATGCAATTAAAAAAACAAAAATGTCATACATTCTGGATTCATTACAAATCAACTGAAATATTGCAAGCCTTTTATTATTTTAATATTGCTGATTATGGCATACAGCTTAAGAAAACTCAAATATCCTATCTCTAAATATTAGAATATCATCAAAAAGTATACTAGTAGAAGTGTTCAACGAATCACTTGAATCGTCTAATTAACTCGAAACACCTGCAAGGGTTTCCTGAGCCTTGAAAAACACTCAGCTTGGTTCAGTAAACTAAATCACAAGTATGGGGAAGACTGCTGATCTGACTGCTGTCCAGAGGACCGTCATTGACACCCTCCATCAGGAGGGTAAGACACAAAAAGAAATTTCTCAAAGAGCAAGCTGTTCACAGAGTGCAGTTTCAAAGCACATCCACAAAAAGTCTGTTGGAAGGGGGAAATGTGGCAGGAAACGCTGCACAACCAAGAGAGATGACCGCAGCCTTAACAGCATTGTGAAGAAGAGTCGCTTCCAGAATTTGGGGGAGCTTCAAAGACAGTGGACTGAAGCTGGAGTCCAGGTATCAAAAGTCACTGTTCACAGACGTGTCCGGGAAATGGGCTACAATAGCCGTATTCCCATGGTCAAGCCACTTCTGAACTCAAGACAACGGAAGAGGCGTCTGACTTGGGCTAAGGAAAAGAAGCACTGGACAGTTGCACAGTGGTCCAAAGTCCTCTTTTCAGACGAAAGCAAGTTTTGTATTTCATTTGGAAGTCAAGGCGCCAGAGTCTGGAGAAAGGCTGGAGAGGAGCAAAATCCAAGTTGCTTGAAATCCAGTGTGAAGTTCCCACAGTCAGCGATGGTTTGGGGAGCCATGTCAGCTGCTGGTGTTGGTCCACTGTGTTTCATCAAGCCCAGAGTAAATGCAGCTGTGTACCAAGAGATTTTAGAGCACTACATGCTTCCGTCTGCTGAAAAGCTCTATGGAGATGAGGAATTCATTTTCCAGCATGATCTGGCACCTGCCCACAGTGCCAAAACCACCAGTAACTGGTGTACTGACCATGGCATTACTGNGCTACAGGCCGCAAGGCAGTGCACTTACAACTACAATAAGCATGTTAATGTTAATCTAACTCCGGCGAACCACTAGCACCCCCCCCCCTGCAGTCAATGGCGAGAGAGAAAGACTATCTTTCGATCCCGCCATGTGCCATGAATTACACATATGATGTTTGTCAATCTTAAAAAATAATTTCCATGTCAAAAAAGTTTGTCGTAAAACTGTTGAAATATAAGACTATGAAAATACGCAACTAGAAAAGACTACAAATCCAAGAGTCAGTGTAAGTGATGTCATAACTCGTTTAACACTCACCGAAACCTCCTAGTACAGCCGGTTCCGCATGCTGGCTCTTACGGAACCGACTAACTCCCCTTTTGTGTAATAGCAGCTCTCAACATGCCCAGACGTGTGATGATTTCCACCTCTTGGTGTTGGTGATGTGTATTGTGCGAGACCAGAGAGTAGTTCATTGAGCGGTTTCACACAAAAATAAGTGTTGTTTGTTCACCAAGCTAACATCTAAAGCTGCACCTTGAATTTGTTTTATTTAACGGGCAGATATTTACGCTGGTCGTCTCACACTCTTACCAAGAAAATGTATGTGCATATTGACATGACAAAAACTCAAATCATTCTTTGGAGAAACCACCTTGCCATGAATCCAGCAAGAGAAATTGTTCTGCCGACATAAAAAACAAACGCTTGTGACTGTTTTCTTCCAAATCCAGGAATAAATTGGCTTTAAAACTTCGTACCACTGCAGCTTATACTGCCAGCAACAGATGGGGAAATAAGCAGTATTTTATTATTTCCTTTTAGGTGAATAAACATCAGTACAGTGACTGGAAAAATAATAAAGAGCTGCAGACATAGGCTATAGAGATCAGCACCCTAGAGTTACAGTGTTAACGATATTGAGGATTTTAAACGTTAGGTTATGATGCAAAAGAAAAGCTGATTTATTTTTCTTTCCATTTATATTTTGTGCATTTTTATTCACAGCTGAGTGTTTTTTGGGTAATCCTGGCAGGGCTTGTTCTTGAATGAAATCTCTTTGTTCTTCGAGAGTGAAACAGCTTCAAGAACCAACAGATTAAATCAAATTGATCACAACTTCAAAGTCTGCACTCGGGCATTGAAGTGTGGTTGGCAGCTGACAGAGAGGCCTCGTTTGAATCTGTTTGTCAGAGGTAGAGTTAAAAAGGCAGAAGTGGACAGGAGCACATATAAAAGTTGGACACAGCAACAACTGCAAAGAGTTAGGCTTTGCAGAGTCAATGTTTGAGGCAATTTAAACAATTTCCCTCCACAGAAAAAGAGTAAGCATTCACCTGGTTGAGCAGGTCCAAAGGTGTTCAGACACTGCAAGTTGTTTAGATGTGTAGCTACTGTTTTTAATGATTATATTCGATAATCTACAATTTTTTTCTTTGCTTTTAATTGAGGGTCAGTGTTGAAAAGGGGAGACGGAGGGGATGACACAAGCCATAAGAGTCTAACGCTACGTCCACACGGCAGCGTGCGTTGAAGCTTGCCGGTGGGCGTGCCTGGCTCGCGACCAACACTTTCAACTCTTTTAAGTTGGAAACAGTTCGGAAGCTGCCTTCGCAAGTCGTTTTTAGTTTATTTACGGTTTAATGGTTCGGCGATCGGTTAGTTTAGTATCGTCATGTTTCGCGACCGGTTAGTTTATTATACAGGTCCATGTACGCGATCGGTTAGCTTATTATCGGATCATTGTACGCGATCGGTTAGGTTTAGTTACGGTCATGTGCAACGCGATCCGGTTAGTTTAGTATACGGTCATGTCTGCGCCGTTTAGTTTAGTATCTCGGGGTTATTTGGTTCCGACCGGTTGGTTTAGTATATGGTTCATTGTTCGCGGACGGTTAGTTTATGTATAACGGTCTTGTTCGCGACGGTTGTTTGGTATACGTCTGTTCGCGATCGGTTAAGTTCTGGCGCCGAACACACGACCCCATCTTAAATTA